TTCTTTTGTTCAAGGTTTTTTCCTCGTCCTTTTGCGGAAGGATAGCTTAAAAAGTCGGAATATTTTGTTTAGTTTCGTACAGCTTAATTGGCTTTTTTGTACCGACCGTTTGCAGTTAGATGTTCAAGGTTAAGGAGTATCGTTTAGTTTTCCATCGTTTTTTGCCACCTGTGTGACCAGCGGAGGCAGTGGCAGCAGAAGAAGGCAATTGGTGTTATTATAAGTAAAACATTTTCACCCTGAAAGTTTGTGGCAAATTGTTGTTGATGTAGTTTTTCACAACTGTTCGTATCCGATGATAATGCGTGCCTGAGAAATTCAAAGAGTGTTGGGTATATTTTGACGTTTTAATTAGAGGCTATTTGTGAATGTGGGAGGAAATTGCCTTTTTAGGCGGCCAAATGGATGTTAAACAATAATCCAAAAGGATATAATCACGGCTTCAATCGGGTTTCTAATAAACTATTATTTTTCAAATGACGGAGACCTTGCATTGATTTTTCCTTGAGAAGAAATCAAAAAAAATGTTTTTAAAAATGTTTAAAAATGTTTTTTTAATGTTTCTAATTTTTGTTGAGCAACCCAAAAAATATTCGTCAAAGATATAAAAGTTATTCGACATAAAATTCTACTATAGGCCCTTGTACACATCAAAAGTCTAAATCTTACCTAAGCCTTAAGGGCTAAGTACATAAGAAGCTTGAAGTCATGGCTAGGCATATTTTGTGACATTTCACAAAGAGATTACAGAGCCGCACTAAAATCCTGCCGTCGTTTTCCATTATTATTTGACATTAGTATGCCTAGCCATGACTTCAAGCTTTTTATGTACTTGCACCCTTAGATTCGTTCCAACAGTGTTGGGACTTTTAGTACTCAAAATGCACAATTTGTTCAGTTTGACAAACGTTTTAAATCAAAACTAAATTTTCAGTCTTTCAAGATTCAAGTTTTTCCTCTTCCGGATAGAATTAAAGGAAAATGTTAAAGTTTTACACAAAAAAGTCCTCTGAATCTTTCAGTTTGAATTTTATCGATGAGCAAAACTATTTCAACGTCTCCATAGGTAAACCGCAGAATCCAACAGAGATCTCGAAATCAAAATTTAGAATATTAGTTCTATCCCTTCACCTAATATCAAATTTTTTTAATATTTAGTCAAAACAATCTACATTTCTTCATCATAAACAGCAACAGTGATCCAAAAATAGTACTATATAGTACTTTTCGTACAACTATAGTACGCATTGGCAAAACCCCCAGAAGATCTCAGCACTAGATACCAACGGAGATCTTAATATCGTATTTCGGGATTCCAGGTCTTTCCCCTCAACCAATACCAAATGTGGTACCATTCAGTACTTATCGTTAAATTATGGTACTTATTACAAACCCATGTCCATATCTAATTTCCAGATATCAACGTAGATCTCATTATCAAATTTGAAGATTCCAGCCCTATCCCTTCACCCAATATCAAATTTAGTACTATTCGTACAAATATAGTACGCATTTCTAAACCATCCCTCATATCTTAATAAGAGACACCAACAGTGATATCAAATTTCAGCTCTATTCCTTCAAGCAAAACCAAATTTGGTACTGTTTAGTACTTTTCGAACAGTACGCATTTGAAAAACCATCTCAATTCTAGATACCTACAGATTTATCTATTCATTTCAATATCAAATTTCAGAATTCCATCTTTATTCCATTGACTCAACACCAAATTTAGTAACATTTAATACTTTTCGTATAGTTTTAGTATTTATTTACAAAGCAGTCCCATATCTCAATCCTACGCACCAACAGTTATCGCAATATGATATTTCACTGTTTCAGTTCTATTCCTTCAACCAATACCAAATTTAGTTCAATTTAGTTCAATTTAGTACTTTCCAAACAACAATAGTATGCATTTCCATACCAACCTTTAAATATTAGCCTCAGACACAAACAGTTATAAATATCAATTTTCCGATTTCCTTCAACCGAGACCAACTTTAGTACTTTTCGTACAATTATAGTACACATTTCCAAAATCACCTACATATCTCAATTACAGATACCAACAGACAACTCAATATAAAATTTCGGGATTCCAGCCCAATCCCTTCACCCAATGCCAAATGTAGTACCAGTCAGAACATTTCTTACAATTATAGTACACATTTCCGAAACCACATCCATATGCCCACGCTACATATGAACGGCGACCCTAATACTAAATTTTAAATTTCAAGCAATATCTATTCACTCAATACCAAATTTAGTACCATATGGTAAATTTCGTGCACTTGTAGTACACATTTCTAAAAACAACTCCACATGTACAGGCTACACATGAGCAGCGATCCTAATGCCAAATTTCTGATTTCAAGCTCTAGCTGTTCACCCAATACCAATTTGTAGCAAATATAGTACCATTTAGTACAATTATAATACAAATTTTCACAACCACATCCAGATACCAATAGAGAGCTCATTATCAAATTTTTTGGATTCCGGCCCTATCCCTTCTCCCAATGCCCAAATTTAGTACCATTTAGTACTTTTTTCGTATAATTATTGTACACACTTCCGAAGCCACCTCCATATGTTCAGGATACACATGATCAACGACCCTAATACCAACAGGGACCTGAACAGGGACAAAATTTCAATATTCCAGCTTCGACCGTTCACCCTGAACCAAACTATTCCAAATTCCAATAGAAGTACATTTTAGTACATTTTAGTACTTTTTGTAAATGCCAATTAGTTCCAAGTTTTCATCATGCTTCGCACATTGTCCTATTTGTTGTTACATTAGATCTAATGTCAAGTTGGTATATATAAAACCAATCTTTTGGTAGATCTCCCAAAAAGGGCATACTTTAAAAAGTGGTCAAACGCTATAGGTAGTTATCTATCGGAACACCGACTGCACTTCTATTGAGATCAGATTAGTTATCGCAAACTTACAGTGAAGTTTCTGAGGATTCAAATGCAGAGCATAGATTTGCTCGTTTTCACTCGGAATTGAAACTTGCTCGCGAGCGGAAGTGTTAGAGCGAATTTTGCTCCCACTCTAAAACTAACGAAGCATGCTCACCCTTTTTCGAGCGACTTCGAAAAATAGAGTACACTCGATTTCATTTTTCTACTCCCAGAACTTTGTACAACAAAAAATACCCTAGTGTGACTTTTTTCCGCACAAAACCGTAATTTTTCTGCAATGACTCCTTTCTATACCCTACACCAATCTATGGTCATTCCGTTTGTAACTCCTCGAAATATTCCATGATAGACCCTACAAAGTATATATATTATGGACCAGCGTAAAAATCTAAGACGATCTAGCGATGTTCGTCTGTCTGTTGTATTCACGTTTTCGTTTCTTCTTTCGAACGATTTGAGATAGAAGGCTAACATTTTGCATACATGCATAGTTTACCAGTAGCCAAGTTAAGTTCGTAAATGGGCCATGTATGCAGGTCCACGTCTTCACATAGTCTCTATATAACGGTACCACCCGATATTCGGTATTTTGATGGTTTCAGCAACATTATTTATCGGAATCGTTTTTAATGGGTACTACAACCTATGGCAAAAAATTTCGCAGGCAGGTCCTCGTCTTCGTATATTCCCCGTATAATGGTACCTCCCTATATTCGGTATTTTGATGGTTTCAGCAACATTATTCCCCGGAACCGTTTCAAATTTCGTATTGGAAGATCTTAATGGATACTACAATCTATGAAAAAAAATTCCGTATGCAGGTCCACGTCTTCGTATAGTACCCATATAACGGTACCACCCGATATTCGGTATCGTTCGGAATCGTTTCAAATTTCGTATTGGAAGATCTTAATGGATACTATACTTCGTATAGTCCTCCCGATATTCGGTATTTTGATGGTTTCAGCAACATTATTCACCGGAATCGTTTTAAATTTCGTATTGGAAGATCTCAAAGGGTACTACAACCTATGGCAAAAAATTTCGTAGGCAGGTCCTCGTCTTCGTATAGTCCCCATATAAAGGTACCACCCGATATTTGGAATCGTTTCAAATTAATTAAATCAAATAATCGGAATCGTTTCAAATTTCGTATTGGAAGATCTTGATGGACACTACAAAAAATTTCGTAGGCAGGTCCACGTCTTCGTATAGCCCCCATATAACGGTACCTCCCGATATTCGGTATTTTGATGGTTTCAGCAACATTATACACCGGAAACGTTTCAAATTTCGTATTGGAAGATCTTAATGGGTACTCCAACTTTTGACAAAAAATTTCGTATGCACGTCCACGTCTTCGTGTATCTCCCATATAATGGTACCTCCCGATATTCGGTATTTTGTTGGTTTCAGCAACATTATTCATCGGAATCGTTTCAAATTTCGTATTGGAAGATCTTAATGGATACTACAACCTAGGACAAAAAATTTTGTATGCAGATCAACGTCTTCGCATAGTCCCCATATAACTGTACACCCCGATATTCGGTATTTTGATGGTTTCAGCAACATTATTCCCCGGAACCGTTTCAAATTTCGTATTGGAAGATCTTGATGGGTACTACAACCTATGGCAAAAAATTTCGTAGGCAGGTCCACGTCTTCGCATAGTCCCAATACAACGATTTTCATTTAAGTAGTAGTTTTCGGATTTTTTTCTTGGCAATTTTTCAAGTTCCTACCGATCTTTTTTACTTCTTTATTTTTTAATGATCTCATTCATACCGAAATAGTTTATTAATTTAGTCTTCCTTACATGGCTTCTGTTTTCAAGCGTGACGTATTCGGATAATAAACACATTATCAATGTTTTTATTAACATCCCAATGAAGATCTTGACATTAAACCAAAGTAATTGCTGGTAACCGTACAGTCGCACACACACACACACACGTTAAATGCATAATTTTCATTCATGTTGTGTTTCGCTCCAATTATTATTAAATACTTATTTTTGCAATTTTTAATATTGTTGTTGTTTTTTTTTTTGTTTTCAGATCTCACAAGCGCTTGCCACCACTTTGAAACGAAAGTAGGAGAAAAATCAGAAAGAAGACGACACAATGGTTGAGTTTCGCTTTGATATACGTCCCCTTTTCACACAGCCGATAGTCAAGGTTACTTCGAATCTGCTGCCTCACACATTTCGTGGAGATCGGCGTCAGTGTCTGTAAGTAACTACATACAGATTTATTCATGCGTCTTCATGTTCACCATGTCATCCCTTTTTGACTTCAATGACACCAAATTGTCCGGATATGGTGGTGAATATGGCGATGTCTTTATGCTAGGCATTTAAAAACAAAAAAAAAAACTAAAACCTTGTCCCTTTGCCTTCCAGAGATGCCACATCAAAGATGTCCGAAATAATTGATCGTCTGGGCCAGCTATCGGCCAATGCCCAAAAACTCAACACCCCCGTGACGACAGCTCAACGTTTGCGAATGTCTGAGAATCAAACAATTTATTTGCTGGCCGATATCAATCAAGGAAATAAGTGAGTTTTATTTTTAAGAACTTTCGTTGGGTGTTTTTTATACCCTACACCACATAGTGGTAAGGGTATTATGTCTTTGTGCATTTGTTTGTAACAGGCAAAGGGAAACGAGATGGACCCATAGTTTCTTTTGATGATCTGCATAGAATCACATTCTGAGTCGATTTATGCATGTCCGTCCGTCCGTCTGTCCATGTATTTTTGTAAAAAAAGTGCAGTTCGCATTTATTGCCCTATCCAGATTAAATTTTGCACAAATCATTTATTTGGCCCAAGGACGAATCCTATTGAAATTGGAGATAATCGGTCAAAATTTAGACATAGCTCTCATATATACCTTCGTCCGATTTGCCTTTTAGTGGCCACCAAACGTGTAATATCAGCCCGAATAGTATGGAATTTTGCACATACAACCAAATTAGGCCTGAAAATAAGTATGCCAAATTTGATCGAAATCGGTTAAGATATAGGTATAGCTCCCATATATATTGTTCATCCGATTTGTTATTTTTGTCCCCTCGCAGCCGTAATATGCACTCTGTAACAACAATATTTGGGGAAATATATCAAATACAGCTCAATAATACATTTGCTAAATTTTATCGAGATCGGTTCAGATTTGGATATAGCTCCCATATATAACTTCGTCCGATTAACCTTTTATTGTGCACAAAACGTCTAATATTTGTCCAAATGGGATGGAATTTGGCACTTACGACCGAATTGAGTCTAGAAGCTAGTATGTCAAATTTGGTGAAGATCGGTTCAGATATAGCTATAGCTCCCATATATACTGTTCATCCGATTTGTTATATTTGTTACCCACAGCGGTAATATGCACTCCGTAACAACGTTATTCAGGGAAATATATCAAATACAGCTCCGAAATATCTTCGCTAAATTTTATCGAGATCGGTTTAGATTTGAATGTAGCTCCCATATATATCTTTATCTGATTTCAAATTAATTGTGCACCAAATGGGCAATACAAGTCCGATTTTAAAAGATACAAATGCTACGGCGTATTTAGTCCTTTAAAATTTAAATTATAATTATAATCATAGCGTGTATGATTGAATTCTCCCAAAAAAACTTTTAATTATTATGCGGAGCTCTACTAAATTAGCAAACAAAGACATAAAATGGTAAAGACTAGACAAAATGCATTCTGAGCAAAAGGTTTGTGGCTATACTACCTTGAATAACAGCTCATGACAGAGGCAAGTTAATATAAAAAACACAATTATAGGAAAGAATGACAAATAAAAATTTGAATAATACAAAATATTGGTTTCAAAGTTCTATTCCATATACCTTCCAAATAATTGCATACTGTCTTAGCGGTTTAAATTGCTTAACATTGGTAACTATGTTGTTACGATATAATAACAACAGAGGCATTTTTCACAGAGTTGCCATATTTTACTCCGTCTTGTCCTATCTTTACACTTCTATGTCTTTGTAGCAAAGTGGTGTAGGGTAACATAAAGTCGGCCCGCCCGACTTTAAGACTTTCTTTACTGTTTTTTTTTTTTTGTGTTGGCGCCTTCAGCTGCTCTCCCTCTCTTATTGGAAATTCAAACAAGTGTTATAAATCAATTTTAAAGTGGCTATTTCAAATAATGACCGATTAGATATGAACGTTGGGTTTTTGTGCCCCGCCATTCATTTCAGCTTAATTTCATTTGGCAATTTGTGTTAAGCATTATTAGAGCATATCATGAAAGCATTTCTCTGTCTGAAATTTTCCACAAACAGAACAACACACATGTCTGACTTTTGTGATGTGTTATAAATATGAGTTATAATTTGAGTTTATGAAACACTTGAAATGCATAGTTTGGATAGAAAAAAATAATGAAATTGTCGAGGACTGTACTTAAATTTCGGCCTTGGAATATAACAGGCTCTTGCGAACATAATTACGATGTCATTCCCTTTATAGAATACCGAAATATTCATCTCAGAACTCATTTCAAAATTTCGATTAATCCTGCGATTACAAAATTTTAGGCAATTGAGCCAATGATTTAATTGTCAAATGAGTAAAGTTCGCATGTGTGATGTAGGTATCTAGACATAAAACAAATATAAAGTGACATTGTGCAACACTGGCAAAAGTTACTAGAAAACAAGTAAGCAAAGGCTATAGCCGTGCGGGGCCGACCATGTGATACCCTACAACCCTACAATATGTTAGAAGTCCCCTTATGTCCAAATCCATTTTGGAAGATTTTGTTTTTGAAATTATGTCACGGAACACTGCCCAATATTTACGCACTCACTCGTGCTGTTAGTCGTTGTTCTTCCCTGTCAGGCGTGTCGATTGGCTTCAATTGTGGGATCAGGAATTCTTTTCTGTTTTTGATTCATGTGAACCCCTAATTATTTTGCAATCATCTCCAAAAGCAAGAGGTCCCTCTGTATATTATCAGACTCATCTGTATGATTTGCTTGTCTACGATATTTGGCCTTCCCTGTCAGGCGTGTCGATTGGCTTCAATTGTGGGATCAGGAATTCTTTTCTGTTTTTGATTCATGTGAACCCCTAACTCATCTATATGATTTGCTTGTTTACGATATTAGGCCATAAAAATCAGCATAAAAAATCCAGAAGTATCGCCTGTATGTTATTTTCATTATGTTATTTTCAGCGTTTTCACACAAAAGTAGTGGTCTATTATACCCGCTGTTCTAAACTCTAACTTTATGCGAGATTTCGTGTCCATTGGTTTCTATTTGTGACCGTTTTAACGACTGAAATGAAAATTGTTAGTCCATTTCAACCCATAAATATATTGCGGACATCTTTGAGCCTAACCCTAACCTTATGAAAATTTTCGTGAGGATCGGACGATAATTGCAATCTGTATATAAATACCCAAACCTGTGTTGTAAGGTGAAAACATATTACAGAATATACACTTCAATATATAAATCAAATTAAAAAAATCGCATGCGATAAAAAATATGAAAAAATAAAAAAAAAAATCACAAAATACTACAAAATCTATATTAACATCAATATTGGCATCTTTTTATGCGATTTATTTTTTTCTTTTTGTCAAAATCGGTCCAGCCATTCTTGAGATATAAGCATTCTAGCTAACATCCCCTCCTTTTGTATATTTTTCGCTATATATATCCGATATATTTACAATCGGTATCTACGTTACGGTCAGAATTGACCTGTTCGTCTACTTGTGATTTCGCCGGGTTTAAAAATATTCGCGGTTTAAAGGAGAATTTGACTTTTATCGAACACAAATGTTATGGTCAATTTCACCCACTAAATATTGGAAATTGGAAGGCTTCTGCCCAGCCCTAAGCTCTAGCCCCATGCAAACTTCCGCGTCAATTGGTCTATAATTGCGACCTGTAGAACAACTGCAAAATCAGTAAATTTTTCAGTTTTGGTCCTTTTCAACTCCTAAATATTATGCGATCATCTTGAAAAGCAATAGGCTTCTATTCTGGCCCTTCAAATTTTGCACATACCAAATTTTTTATTTGTATTGGATAAAGTATGAAAATGAAATACTTCGGTCGACAATATCTGCTACCTCACGCACACTTTTAACATTTTCTAAAAATAATCACATAACTCATATAAAGTGAGGGGAAGCAGTCGATATAGTCCAAAGCTGGCATGTTGCAATATTTATATCATGTTTATTTATGTTCGATACGAAATGGGCAATATTGGCCCATTGGCTCGGAACCTACTACATAGAGGGTCAACAATTTGAATTTGAATCATAACAGAAGTCAAAATACCTTTAAATCAACGAACATTGGCTGAGGGTATACATCTGTCGCCAAAACCAACTGATATTTTCTAATTTGTTTTATCGATTTTAAGTGGCCAATGAAAATCCACTGCGGAGGGTACATAAAAAAAGATTAATATACAGGGTGAGATAAAAAACTGCAACAAAGTCAAACGCCATAATTTTTAAATTGTTTTTCAAACTTTTATTGAATGAAAACAAAAAATGTCCGATATAGCATCAAGTTTTAAAATAAGTTTAAATTGCTTTGAATTGGTCATCTTTGGCACGAATTATGTCCTCAAACGGCCAATGAAACCGTCACACTCTGCCCGAATGTTGCTCTGCGGTATTTTGACCCACTCCCGGCAAAGCGCTTGCTTGAGGTGATCGTCACTTTGGTATTTTTTAGTGGCAACCTTGCGTTCTAAAATACTCCAAAACACAATAGTCCAACGTTAATCCACCAAAATCCGGAGATTTTGGTGGCCATTGTGCGCTGGAAATGAAGCGGGGAACCCCAATTTGTAACCATTCTTGGGTGGCGCGTGCTGAGTGCAAAGGTGCTGAGTCCTGTTGAAATGTTAGCGTGCAAAATGTTAGCGTGCCCAAGGCTTTAATACACCACCCTCCAGAATATTCGGCATTTATTTTGATGCCACGGTAGATTAATACGAGCGGACAACCATCATCGGTTGTTATGGCGGTCCACACCATCACCATGGCCAACCGAAGGTGCACATTTTAAGCAAGTGAACACGATCATTTTGTTTGATTACAAACTGCTAGACAACGAATGTTTTCTCATCGGAGAAAACCAAATTCGGCAGTTCACCACTTTCGGCCAAGCGAAGCCACTCTTTAATTCTTTTGAGTCTATTTTCTTTTTGTTGCGGTCTAAGTTCTTACACTTTTTGGCTTTACCCCGAGCTCGCTTTTATACCCTCCACCATTCTATGTAGGATATATTAACTTTGCCATTCCGCTTGTAACTCCTCTAAATACTCATGTCAGACCCAGCAAAGTATATATATTCTTGATCAGCGTAAAATTCTAAGTTGATTTAGTGATGTCCGTCTGTCTGTATGTCTGTCTGTTGTAATCACGTTATCTTTCGAACGAATTGAGATAGAAGGCTAAAATTTTGCACACATGTTTATTTTTCCAGTAGGCAGGTTAAGTTCGTAAATGGGCATGTCGGTCCACGTTTTCATAAAGCCCCCATATAACGGTACTTAGCGATATTCGGTATTTTGATGATTTCAGCGACATTACTCCCTGGAATTGTTTAAAATTTAGCATTTCAAGTTCGTAATGGAAGCTACAACTTGTGACAGAAAATTGTCTGTGCAGGTCCACGTCTTCGTATAGCCCCCCTATAACGGTACCTCCCAATATCCGGTTTTTTGATGATTTCAGCGACATTACTCACTGGAATTGTTTTAAATTTGGCATTTCAAGTTTGTAATGGATGCTACAACTTGTGACAGAAAATTGTCTGTGCAGGTCCACGTCTTCGTATAGCACCCCTATAACGGTACCTCCCTATATTCGGTATTTTGATGATTTAAGGGACATTACTCACTGGAATTGTTTCAAATTTGGCATTTCAAGTTTGTAATGGATACTACAGCTTGTGACAGTCTGTGCAGGTCCACGTCTTCGTATAGCCCCCCTATATCGATACCTCCCAATATCCGGTTTTTTGATGAATTTAGCGTTATTATTCACCGGAATAGTTTCAAATTACGTATTCAGAGTTTGCAATGGGAACTACAGTCTGTGACAGAAAATTATCTATGCAGGTCTTCATATAGGCCCCATATCCGGATTTTGACGATTTTAGGTACAATACTCCCCGAAATTGTTTGAGATGTCGTATTTGAAGTTCGTCAAGGATGCTACAGCCTGTGACAGAAAATTGTGTAAGCAGATCCAGGTCTTCGTATGGCTCCGATATAACGGTACCTCCCTATATACGGTATTTTATGATGCTATGATGGAAAATTCTCACCAAAATGCTTTTGTACGCTAGTCAACAATATAATGAGCGGTCACTGGAATAATTTTAACAGCTGTCGGACGAGTGGCTTAGAAATGACAGCAGTCTGAAGTTGGTTGCAGTTTTTTCATCTCACCCTGTATGTTGGGATTGCCAGAACGGAAACTCAATTCACTTCAATGGTGTTCTATTTCCAAAAAAAAAAATGTGCATTCGTCTGCAGTGATTCGAGTAACCCCCACCACCTCAGATCCCTAATTACATTGTTAAGAATTCAAATAAATTATTTCCAATTTACCATTTTCTATTTAATTAAATTGTACCATTATTTCCTGCGACATATGTTGTTCGTGTTGTCCTTATTTTCGAACCCCCTTCCCTTGACAATGAAATTAATTACATTTTAAATGGGTCTACATTTTACTTATTTTCGGCATTATATACCCACAGCCATGCATAGTGAATGCGTGATTTTTTTGTCGTATTTATATTTATATTATTTATTTACAAGCTTTTTACATTTCCTCCTTCAAGTTAATTAATATTTTGTCAGGATTTAGTTCATATTTTATTGTATTGTCCTTTTTATTTTCTTACAGTGGTGCTGTAATTGGTTTGCTCAAGGTGGGCACCAAAGACCTTTATCTGTTCGATGAGACCGGTCAGACGCGTAAGGTGGAGAACACCCCCTGCATTTTGGATTTCTACATACATGAATCGCGGCAGCGAGCTGGCCTGGGTAAGGACCTCTTCGAGACCATGTTGGCGGATGAAAAATGGACACCCATTAAATGTTCAGTGGATAGGCCATCAGAGAAATTGTTGGGTTTCCTCAAGAAACATTATAGTTTGGTGCGTACCATACCACAGGCTAATAATTTTGTGCTCTACGAGGGTTTCTTTGATGACGGCAGCAGTTCGGCGGCGACAAAACAAACAAATGGTGCTGGCAACGGAATGTACATCACAAATAGGTAAGTGGGAAAGTAAATGATGTCGTGTCGCTTATATATTTTTTCTGCCTCTCCCCCTTCTACCCAACTTTTCTTCTGGCCATAATGTACATAATCACAAGGGGGCAGGGGGTGGTTGGCTATGTAATTAATTTTCCATTCTTGGGGTCATTTTATGTTAAAATTGAACGGAAGTTCTAATATTTAGTTGTATGATTGTGAAATGGAACGAAACGTAACGTAACGTAACATGTTTGTATGTGGTAGTTGTCGTGGTTACTGACACGTTGGTTGACGTGTCTTAAGGATATTCTACACGAAAACGTTTGATATAGACGCCGCGTGCCAAGCACCTAACATTATTACTAGTCAAGAGTCATGTGTCTGCCTTTGTTATACCCTTCACCATAGTATGGAGGGTATATTAAGTTTGTCATTCCGTTTGTAACACCTCGAAATATACATTTTAGACCCCACAAAGTATATATATTCTTGATCAGCATAAAATCGTCCGTCCATCCGTCTGTGGAAATCACTCTAGGTTTCGAACGAATTGAAGTAGATTGATAAAATTTTACTCAAATGTATATTATGTCTGCGGGACTTTTGGTATTGAAAATGGGCCATGTAGGTCCACGTTTTGGTATAGTCCCCATATAACAGTACCTCCCGATATTCGGTATTTTGATGATTTTGTTACAAATTTGGTATTTGAAGTTCGAATTGGTACTACTACAGCCTAAGACAGAAAATTGTCTGTGCAGGTCCACGTCTTCGTATAGTCCCCATATAACGGAACCTTCCGATATTCGGTTTTTTGATGATTTTAGCGACATTATTCACCGGAATTGTTTCAAATTTGGTATTTTAAGTTCGTAATGGATACTACAGCCTAAGACAGAAAATTGTGTGTGCAGTTCCACGTCTTTGTATAGCCCCCCCATATAACGGTACCTCCCGATATTCGGTATTTTCATAATTTAAGCGACATCATTCACCGGAAATCCTTTAAATTTGGTATTTGATGTTCGTCATGGATGCTACAGCCTATGACAGGAGATTTTCTGTGCAGGACCACGTCTTTGATAGCCCCCGATATAGCGGTACCTCCTAATATTCGGTATATTGATGAATTTAGCTACATTATTGCCAATTTTTTTTTTAAGTTGAATATTGTAATGGCTTATGACAAATGTTACCTATGCAGGTCCATGTCGTCGTATGGACCCTAATATCACAGCTACATTCGGTATTTTTAAGATTTTAACAGATTTTTTAACGGATTTGATTGTTTTTGAGAATTGTCGAATTTGTACCAAATGGTGGAGGGTATTCAAAGTTCGGCCCGGCCGAACTTACAGCTTTTTTCTTGTTTTTCCTTTTTTTTTTTGTAGATAGCATGCGGTTTTGAGTGTGTGTATCAGATTTTCAACGAGACGTTGAAAATAAGTCTGAGCCTTTGGTTTCTCACACACTTCCTTTATTGACTTTACAACTTCCCCTTTGGCCTATGAGGTTTTTAACATAAAAGTCAATATTTATGTGGGGAAGTATCCTAATGGGAATCAAAAAAGTGGGGCACACATTGTCGCATAGCCACAAGTTAATTTATATCAAAGATATTTTAAGCGAAAGCTAACGGGAAACGAATACTAAAGAACATACAGCCCTCTTAAACACAATGTTAGTTGGGTCATGACTTACTTTGGAACTCATAACTCAATATTATGTTTTTATACCCTCTACCATACTGGTGAGGGTTTTCATTTCCTTTGCAAGTCCTTGTAACATGTAATTTAAACCCAGCAAAATAAATATATTTTTATGATCAACATAAAATTCAATGTCCATTTCGCTATGTTCGTCCGTCCATGTGTCTCCAGAATTTCAACGGAACGGAGTAAATTGATCAAATTTTAGTTAAATTTATAATAATTACTAGCTGGCCCAGTCCGCGTTGCCGGCCCGTAGTTTTAGTCTTTAATGCATAGTTTTTAAAGCATAATAATTCACAAATCTGGCTCACATAAGTGGCACAATTTTTTATATATAAATGATTACTCGATTAAATAGAAATAAATACTTCTTTCAAAAAACCTGGACCTATTTTTCAGTAAGAGGTTTTAGTTGAAGAGTTAAAAATCTAAATAATATAGCATATATATTAAAAAGTATACATTAACTGTTTATAATAGACCATGTTAGATGGCCTAAACACACATCTTAAGTCAAATCGACCGGAAAATATAATCAAACCCCTCCAAATAGGTAAAATCGGGAGGTACTTTCATATGAGCGCTACTTCGAAACATTGAACAATTGCCGCGAAGAGGCCTTCTACCAGAAGCTAGATGCCAAAAAAGGGAAAAATCAATTGAAAAATGTGGCCAAGACCCTGGTAATAACTGAAATCACCGGATACCTTCACATAAAAGTTATAATGAAGCATATTTCTATACTTATAATTATTTGAAAGAATTTGTTTTTTTCTCTAAAATATCAAAATTGAAGGGGCTATATC